CCCGAGGTTTATTTTCCATAATCCTATATACCTTCTACAGCGATATAGATCTATAATGATTTACAGCAGGGGCTTAGTAAGGCATATTCTTCCATATACATAGGATTAGTCCCGCGTGTATGATAAGAATCTTTAAAGCAGGACAAGGGAACCAAGAGGGGAGTGCACAGTGTGCTATTTACAGGACAAGGGAGCAAAGAGTGGAGTGCACAGTGTGCTATTTACAGGGCCAGGGAACCAAAAGGGAAGTGCACAGTGTGCTATTTACAGGTGGCTTCCTATCTACAAAACATCTTCTGCTGCCTACTTTAGAATAGACCGCACACGTCCCAAGGGCATTTCACTCTGATCCTTTCGGCTTATTTTTAACCCTGCAATCTCGAGTTTTCTCAGAGACCTCGGAATCTGAATGAATATGTACCAGTGGTTGTTGTGGTCTTCTGTTTCCTGCAGTCCACTGTGTCATTCGCTGTTATTATTGTATCATCATCCATGTGTTCTTTAATTTTGTTATTAATTGGTTTATGTCATTGGCTGCTCCCATGTTAGGGGCACACATATTTACAATTGTTAGATCTTCTTGTTGGATAGACCCCTTTAATTCATTATGATGGTGTCCTTCCTCAACTCTTATTACAGTCTTTGGTTTAAAATCTAATTTGTCTCATACAAGGATTGCTACCCCAGCTTTCTTTTGATGTCCATTAGCATGATAAATTGTTTTCCACTCCCTCACTTTCAATCTGGCGGTGTCCTTGGGTCTAAACTGATTCTCTTGCAGACAGCATATCAATGGGTCTTGCTTTTCTATCCAATCTGATACCCTGCACCTTTTGATTGGGACATTTGGCCCATTTACATTCAGGGTAACTATTGAAAGGTATGAATTTAGTGCCATTGTATTACCTGTAATGTCACTGTTTCTGTATATTGTCTGTGTTCCTTTCTGGTCTGTGTTACTTTGGGGCTCTCTCTTTGCATAAAGGATCCCCTTTAATATTTCTTGCAGGGCTGGGTTAGTGATCACAAATGTTTTAGTTTCTGTTTCTCCTGGAAACTCTTTATCTCTCCTTCAGTTTTGAATGACAGCCTTGCTGGATAAATACAGTATTCTTGGCTGCATATTTTTCTCGTTTAGCACCCTGAATATATCATGCCAGTCCTTTCTGGCCTGCCAGGTCTCCGTGGTTAGGTCTGCTGCCAGTCTAATGTTTCTACCCTTGTCGGTTAAGGACCTCTTGTGCCGAGCTGCTTTCAGGATTTTCTCTTTGTCTCTGAAATTTGCAGGCTTCACTACTGTATGTTTTTATTGATGTTGATGTGGGTTGGGTTTTCTGTGCCTCCTGGATTTGAATGCCTGTTTCCGTCCCCAGATTAGGAATGTTTTCTGCTATAATTTCTAGAATATACCTTTTTCCACCCCCCTTCCTCTTCTTCTGGGATCCCAATTATTCTACTATTGTTTCGCTTTATGGTATCACTTATCTCTTGAATTCTCGCCTCATGATCCAGTAGTTGTTTATCTCTCTTTTTTCTCAGCTTCTTTATTCTCCATTATTTTTAATTTTTTTTTTTATTTTTTAAAAGGTTTCATTTATTTATTGGACACAGAGAGACACAGCAAGAGAGGGAACACAAGCAGGGGGCGTTGGTGAGGAAGAAGCAGGCCTTCCGCTGAACAGAGAGCCCCATGCAGAGTTCGATCCCAGGACCATGGGATCATGACCTGAGGAAAAGGCAGACACTTAATGACTGAGCCACCCAGGTGTCCCTATACTCCATCATTTTATTTTCTTTTCTGTATCACTACTTCTCCTTTCTGCCTCATTTATTCTATCAGAGCATCCAATTTTTTTTTTATTTTAAATACATAATTTTTATTAAGTATAGCTCAGTCACTCTGGAAAAGATAAGTAAATAATGTTTTATTGGGGCGCCGGGTGGCTCAGTCATTAAGCGTCTGCCTTCGGCTCAGGTCATGATCCCAGGGTCCTGGGATCGAGCCCCGCATTGGGCTCCCTGCTCTGTGGGCGCCTGCTTCTCCCTCTGCCCCTACCCCTGCTTGTGTTCCCTCTCTCGCTGGTCTCTCTGTCAAATAAATAAATAAAATCTTAAAAAAAAAATGTTTCACCTCACCATTACCCATACATATATGATAATTTTTTTAAAATTTCATTTTATTTTAAAGAATATATTCATTTATTTGCCACAGAGACAGAGATAGTGAGAGAGAGAGCACAGAGAGGGAGAAGCACACTCCCCACTGAGCAAGGAGCTCAACATGGGTTTGATTCCGAGACCCCGGAATTATGACCTGAGCCGAACGCAGCCCCTTAACCAACTGAGCCACCCAGGCACTCCTAAAAGTTCTCTTCAGTTAGCTGACATATGATATATCATTAGTTTCAGATGTAGTGTTCAGTTAATCATCAGTTGTATATAACGCCCAGTGCTCTGCACATCACGTGCCCTCCTTCATGCCCATCACCCACTTACCCCATCCCCCCACCCACCTCCCCTCCAACAAACCTGTTTGTTTCCTATAGTTAAGAGTCTCTCATGGTTTGTTTCCCTCTCTGGTTTCTTCCCTTTTTAGTTTTCTCTCCCTTCCCCTATGATTCTCTACACTTTTTCTTATATTTCACATATGTATGAAACCATATGATAATTGTCTTTCTCTGATTGACTTTTCTCTCCGCAAAATACCCTCCATTTCCATCCACGTCAATGTAAATTGTAAGATTTCATCCTTTTGATGGCGTAGTAATATTCCATTGTATTTATATATACCACATCTTCTTTATCCATTCATCTGTCAATGGACATTTGGGCTGTTTCCACAGTTTGGCTATTGTGGATATTGCTGCTATAAAAATTGGTGTCCAGGTGCCCCTTCTGATCACTACATTTGCATCTTTCGGTAAAGACCATGTAGTACAATTACTGGGTCATCGAGTAGCTCTATTTTTAACTTCTTGAGGAACCTCCATACTGTTTTCCAGAGGTAGAGCCTCCATTTTTTACTGCATCTCATTAATAGACTTTTGATTTCGATTTGTTATGCTTTTAGTTCTTTTATTTCTCCAGAAAGGCATTCTGTAGTGTCTTCTGTGCTTTTTCAAGCCCAGCTAGCATCTTTATAATTCTTATTCCAAGCTCTAATTCCAATATCCTACTTTTATCCATACTGATTAGGTCCCTGTCAGTAAGTACTGTCTCTTGTTCTCTTATTTGATGTGAGTTTTCCCATCTAGTCATTCTGTCTAGAGAAGAATAGATGAATGAGAGAACAAACTACTAAAATAGCAACAACGACCCCAGAGAAATCTACTCTTAACAAATCAGAGGAGACCTGAAACCAAAAAAATAGATAAGAATTAAAGGCGAAAGAGAATATAATCAGACAGGTGATGAGAACAGAGCAATACAGTAGATTCTGGGTGTATTTTGGTCTGTTTGTTAGAAGAAACTACACCCCAAAATTGTAAAGAAAGAAAAACTTCTATATATCAAAAATAAAATTAAATACAATGAAACTATAGAATGTAATTATAAAAATGAATATTGAAAAAGTTTTAAAAAACGAGTTGATAAAATAAGAAATTGGTTGAAATGGAAAAAAAAAATTACAATTGAGAGATTGAGGAATCATGAGAAAAAGCCATGAATTCTATATAGTATTTTCCTCTAGTGCTGGAGTTTTGCATTTCTGTGTGATTGGTAAACTTGGTCTTAGCCAGATGTTCTTGCTGATTTTCTGGAGGAGAGGCCTGTGGTGCTGACTCTCAGGGGTCTTTGCTCCAGCAGTACTGTATTGCCCTTGCCAAGGGGCCGGGCTAAGTCCAGGCCTCGGGATTGCTCTATGTAGCTTTTGTTCCCTGAAGGCTTTCCGCACCACTTTATAGGATGAGAATGAAAATGTCAGCCTCCCAGTGTCCAGCCCGGGAGCTGAAAGCTGGCACCCTCTACTCTTCAGTGTGCCCTCATGGAGAAGCTGTCAATCACTCTTGTCTCCCTGGTTTCTGTCTGCATTCTGTGTACACCCAGCCTGTGACTGAACATTTTTATCTCAGCCATGCAACCCCCTTTGGAGTTTCCAAACTTTGCAGTCTCCTGTGGCATGCATTCGTGCCACTCCTCCTGGGGGAGGGAGGGAGGTCTTGCCCTGGTTCTGCCGCTTGTATGGCCCCTGCTCTGAGAGCGGTCACCCAACTGGCTGCGGTTTGTGGTTTATGGCAACACTGAGCTGAAAGCCCCCTCCTCAGCTCTCTGATTGCAGCCGGCTTCACTGCTCAAATGCCTGGGAACTCTCCCATACTCAGGCACCCCCATTCTTTCTGTGACCCTGGAGATCCTGAGATAAGGCTGTCCCACCTAGCATTCCACCCTGCTTCTGCACCTGAGCGCCTTTCAAGCAGGATGTCCCTCACCGGAGCAGACTTCTACAAGTTCTGATTTGCACACCACTGCTTTATCACTTTCTGATAGCCGGCTTATGGAGGCTCCCTCTCCCCCACGGTTTATCTTCCCATGGATCACCGCTGATTCGCTTCTCCACACCTCCTACCTTGCAGAAAGTGGTCGCTTTTCTATTTGTAGAATTGCAACAGTTCTTTTCTTAGATCTCAGGTTGAGTTCACAGGTCTTCAGAATGATTTGAAAGCTATCCAGCTGAATTCCAGGGACCGGACAAAACTACGGTCCTCTACTCCTCCGCCATCTTCCTCTTCTTCCAGAACGTATGTATATTCAATAGACCAATATTAATTGTACTTTTAATCAGATTCATCTAAATAGCATTACATATGTTTCTTCTCAGTTACCTAAGATTAAAATAAGTAGGGATTTATTTTATTTATGTCATTATCTTTCTATTTCAGCAATCCCTAACTTAGTTTTAGTCTCTAAAAGTGTTATTTAAAGACCACATTTCATAAGCTATACATAGTTCCTACGATGATGTCCCTTGAACATTATAAATAGTATTTGACTTATTTCAGATGCAGCAGGAGATGGAAAGGAATATAACTAGAGAACTAGAAGAAGGTTTGTTGCCAAATTTATGAATTAAGATGGTCATTGATTTCTGAAATAAACTATGAATAGTAAATGGCATCCCTGTCCATTGTTTGGATAATAGGTACTACATTAAATTTTTTTAATATATAGCTAATAAAAAATGTAAAACATAAACATAATGAAGAACTTACTTATTCCTCATTTAGTCATCGTGTTCATTCAGACTTTTTAAATCTCCAAATGTCTATGTAGCTGTTATTATTTCTGGCTATAATCTTCCTTTATTTCTGCCATTCCTATGGAACCGTCAACCTGAATATGTGGGCTGTCTCAAATTCTTGTTTCTGCTAGTGGTATAAGACCAAAACAACCAGACTTGTCATAGTAATAGTTAAGCAATTATAGTCCATATAGCTGTCACTTGACAGGTGATATTTAAATCTCCAGTCATTGATTTTGTCATTGGCTTACCTTTTGCCATTGAGTAAAATTCCAAGTTCCTTATATGGAGTTAAAAAAACCCAAGTCAATTTGGTTCTTGCCAGATTATTCAGCTACTTACCCTACTCTGTTGCTTTGCTCTAGCACCTCTTCAGCGTAGACTACTTGCAATTCCACAAATGTTCTTCCTCACTCTTTGTATATGTTCTTTGTATATGTGTCTTGCCTCCACCTGGCACATTTTTTCCTTGTACTTCAGGTATCAACTTATATATCACCTCCACCAAAAAGCAGGCAGTATTGATAGAAAACTAGGATGTCCCTTTTGTGTGTTCTTATAGTGTCTTGTTTTATACCTGTCATGGTATATTCAACTCTAAAATTGCCTGTTTGATTTTTCAGTTTCTAGTATACGATTGCTCGGGGGTGGGCTCTGTCATCATCTTGTAATTTCATCTTGTAATGAGAAAACTAGAAGCTCTGATATTTATCCACAATAGCAATTAACTCGGTGGGCAACCATGAGCAAAATATATTTAAAAGTAATCTTGTATTTTATATTGTAGTTCTATGTAGATATTTTTCATTCTTCTTAACACTCATAAGGCTTCAAATTTGTTTTTTACTAACTTGTAATTAACTACAAAGTATTTTAGATAAAGAATGTATAATTCTTTTTCTTTTCAGATGCTGCTGAATTTGAATTAGACTCATGGCATATGACCTCCTCTTTAGAATGTACTTATGAATCACATGTAAATGACGATCTACTGGTGAAATTGTCAAAAGAATTTTTACAGACTTTGAAGAAAAATTATATGTTCTGAAAGACAAACAGTAAAATTTATTTACTGGATGTTTGTATAACATTTTAATTGTGTCCTACTAAACGTATTGTGTGAAAATCTTGAATAAAGGAAAATACTTCTGGATCATGTGTGTAATGAAAGTTTATATAATATCTTAAGCTATGTTTCCTGGCACCTAATTAACTTTTAAGCAGGTTTTATACGTGGAGACCAGCACTATTGGGTTTTACATGCTTCAAGCTGCCCAAATACCAGCTTTTTAAACAGCACCCAACCAACCAAATTGTCATTAGTACTTCAGGGGTGTTAACTGATAGCGTTTTTGTATTTTCAGTTTTTATTACTATATATGGACCTAGAGATTTACACAGACATCCTTTTGATATATTGCTGCTAAGGCTATTGTCAATGTTTCTATGTATTACAATTTTTATACTGCCATAAAACCTATGTATAATTTTAATTTTAAGTACTGATTCATAGCTCTTTCCTCATGGTGAAATAAGATTTGCCTAAGGCTTTTCACTTTTTCTGTTTATTTTTTATTTACTTTTTCAGAACAGTCTTAAAATTAGGGAAAAGAAAACTTAGAGAAAGAAAAAATAACTTGTTCCCTCAGAACCATTTGCAAGTAAATTGCTAGATTATGCCTGAGTCCCATAGCATTTATATCCTACAAGTCAGTACATTCCACATAACTACTGTACAACCCTGACAATCAGACAACTAGCTCTAATACAATTAACCCTTAAATAATGTCGGAGTTAGGGGCACTGACCCCTTGCGGTCAGAAATATGTGAATAACTTTTGACTCCCCAACTTTTGACTTTACTAATAATGTGCTGTGGACCAGAAAACTTACTGGTACCAGAACAGTCAATGAAGCTGTGTTTTGTATGTTATATATATTCCATATTATATTCTTCCAATAAAGTAAGCTAGAGAAAAGAAAATGTTATTGAAATCATAAGAGAAATACATTTACAGTACTATCATGTATTTATTGAAAGCATTTGCATATAAGTGCCCCCATTCCAACCATGTCAACTATACATTCTATCTTTTTTTTTTTTAAGATTTATTTATTTGACAGAGCACAAGAAGGCAGAGCGGCAGGCAGAGGGAGAGGGAGAAGCAGGCTCCCCACTGAGCAGAGAGCCCGACATGGGGCTCGATCCCAGGATGCCGGAGTCATGACCTAAGCCAAAGGCAGACACTTAACCAACTGAGCCACCCAGGCACCCTGTACATTCTATCATTTAATCCTCATATTTTTAAGTTTTGTCACTTGTCTGTAATATCCTATACATAAGGAAGGTCCTGTTCAGAGCCATGTATTTAATTCAGATGTTGTGTCTCTTAGTTCTTTCAGTTTAGAATCGTTCCTTAGTCTTTCCTTAATTTTCATGACTTATAATCTTTTAAACAGTTAATTCCAGTAATGTAGAATGTCTTTCAGGGTGGGTTTTTCTTATGTTTCCTTATGATAAAATTCAGATCAGGGACGCCTGGGTGGCTCAGTTGGTTAAGCAACTGCCTTTGGCTCAGGTCATGATCCTGGTGTCCTGCGATCAAGTCCTGCATCAGGCTCCCTGCTCAGTGGGAAGCCCGCTTCTCCCTCTGCCTGCCACTCCCCCTGCTTGTGTTTTCAATCTCTCTCTGACAAATGAAAAAAAAAAAAACAACTTTAAAAAAATTCAGATCATACATTTTTAGCAAGAGTATGATATGGTCCTCTACTCTTCTCATTGCATCCTATCATGAGACCTACAATTTTGATTTGTCCCATTGTTGGTCATGTTAGCATTGATCCTGGAGGTAATATCTGCCAAGTTTCTCCTCTGGAATGTTAACTTTCCACTTTATAATTAATTAGTATTTTGGGGGAAGTACTTTGAGACATGTAAATATCTCCTTTCTCAGACACCCTGTGCCAGGCCATGTCTTCTGCAGATGATTGACTGCCCCCATAGGCTCTGAAAACCCATGCTGGACTGTTCTTTCCCGTCAGTCTGTGATACCACATTCTATGTTGTTGACGTTACAGGGGAGTTCCAACACTGTGCAGGGTGGCTCTCCCACTTTTATGCCTTCCCCATTCTATCCAGGCTCCAACACCTCACTCTGGGCCACCAGAGCTCCCTGTTTCTGTTTCTATGCTTTTGAACGGAAAATTTGGGAATAGAAAGAAGAAAGGGGGAAAAGGCTCCATAGGTCTTTTATACTCAACTTGTCAAGCTTTACAAAGCAAAGATTCTGATTAGAATTGCATTGAATCTCTCTATAATATATAGGGAAAAGACATAATTTTCTTAACAGTATTTTAATTGATTAACTCTCAATGTTTAATGTTTAAAAAATTTCCTATAAAGTTCCTGCAGATATTTTTTAGATTTATTCCCAGTTAGTTAATATTTTTGACCCCATTATAAATATTATTTTTATTTTTATTTTTTTTATTTTTTGTAAATATTTATTCATTTGAGACACAGAGATACAGAGTGAGAGAGAGAGCATGAGCAGTGGGAGAGGCAGGGGGAGAGGGAGAAGCAGACTCCCGGCCGAGCCAGGAGGCCGATGTGGGGCTCGATCCCAGGACCCCGGGATCATGACCTGAGCCGAAGACAGAAGCTTAACCATCTGAGCCACCCAGGCGCCCTTAAATATTATTTTTAAAAATCAATTTCATTTCCTGTTTGTTGCTAGCTTATAGAAATAAAATTATTTTGCATATTGAGCTTAGATTCATCCTATCTTGGTAAACTGTCTTATTTTATTTTTTCTCACAATTCTGGAGGCTAGGAAGTCTAAAATCAAGGCACTGGCAGATTCAGTGTCCAGTGAGGGCCAGCTTCCTGATTCATGGATGCTGGTCTTCCTCCTGTTTCCTCATGAGGCACAGGGCCAAGGGAGCTCTCTCAGGTATCCTTTATTTATAAGGGCACTAATCCCATTCATGAGGGCTCCACCTTCATGACTTAATCACTTCCCAAGGCCCCCACCTCCAGATACTATTACATTGATCATTAAGATTTAATACATTAATTTGGGAGTGGGGGGGAACAAATATTCAGTCTATAGCAAGGCTTTTCCTTGTTCTTGGCCATGTAGGCTTCCCCAGTATGGCTGCTTACTTCATGAGGCCAACAAGGAGAATTTCACTGCAGAGAGGGCTCAGTCCTCTTTTAAGGGTTTCACCTGCTTAAATCAGGCTTACATAGAATAATCCCCTCCTGATTAACTCAAAATTAACAATTTTATCTGCAGAATTCTGTTACATTTGCCATTTTCTAATGGCTAGAGTCAAGTCACAGATCTGGGCTACACTTAAGGGAAAAGGATTATAAAAGTTGAGAACACCACAGGGCATTTATTATGAGGTCACCTAGGGTCTTTCTGTTACAATTATATTAACAAAGTTCCCTTATACGACTAGTTTTCTAAGTTTTATCATGAATGTTGAAAGATAATAGATGTTTGTTTTGCATATATTGAGAGAATTTTTTAAAAATTTGTCAATGTGGTGAACTACATTATGTGCTCACGTGAAACCAATCTTGCATTTCTTAGGTAAACTGAATTTAGTTGTGATTTCATTCGTCTGTTGCATACATTACTACTCTTGTTATGATGATATCTTGGTAAGGATTTTCTCCTCTCTGTTCATGGATAATGATAATGCAAGGAGTTTTGAATACTTTTAACTCAATTTACATGGCTCCAAACTTATGCATATTGTTGCTTTGTTTTTTAATTCTATCTTGTATCTTTAAAAAATACTTGACATTTTTATAACTTTTACATGATACTGCCAGCGTTCATTTAAATTGAACTACATATTAAGTTTTTTTTCCCTGTCCTCTTGCATCTCAGAATTTCTATTTGGGATGATTTTTCTTCTCTTTATTTATGTACATTCTTTAAAATTTCCATGAGTGAGAACTGCCAGGTAATGAATCTCTGTTTAAAATGTCTTTATTGGGTGCCTGGGTGGCTCAGTTGATTAAGTGTCTGCCTTTGGCTCAGGTCAGGGTCCCAGGGTCCTGGGATTGAGCCCCACTTCAGGCTCACTGCTCAGCGTGGAGTCCTCTTCTCCCTCTCTCTCTGCCCCTCCGCCCACTTGTTTTCCCTCTCTCACTCCTTCTCTCTCACTCTCTTTCAAATAAATAAAATCTTTAAAAAATAAATAAAAATGTCTTTATTTCCTCTTACTCTTGATATATATTTTCACAGCATAGAGAATCCTAGGTGAGTAGTTATTTTCTTTGATCATACAGAAAATGTCATTCCACTGCCCTTTGTCTTTCATAATTGCTCTTTAGAAATTATCTGTCCACCTGTTTCTCCTTTGAACATAACCTGTTCCCCACTCTGCTCCTTTTCCCCACAATTTTTGGTTGCTTTAAAGATTTTACTCTTGGGAAAAAATTCTTTTTCTTTGTGTGTTTACTGCAGTTATGCTATTATGGGTCTACATTTGGATGTCTTACTGTTTATCTTAGTAATGTTGCATAATTAGAATTCCATTTACAAGAGCTCCAAAAACCATAATATACCTAGGAATTAACCTAACCAAACAAGAAAAGGATCTATACTCTAGAAACTACAGAACACTTATGAAAGAAATTGAGGAAGACACAAAGAGATGGAAAAACATTCCATACTCATGGATTGGAAGGATAAATATTGTTAAAATGTCTATGGTGCCCATAGCAATTTAAACTTTCAATGCAATCCCTTTCTAAAAACCATTGACATTTTTCACAGAGCTGGAACAAATAATCCTAAAATTGCTATGGAACAAAAAGAACCCCGAATTGGCAGAGGAATGTTCAAAAAGAAAACCAAACCTGCAGGTATCACAATGCCTGACGTCAAGCGATATTGCAAAGCTGTAGTCAAGACAGTATGGTATTGGGACAAAAACAGACATATGGATCAATGGAAGAGATTAAAGACCCCAGAAATGGACTCTCAACTCTACGGCCAACTAATCTTCGACAAATCAGGAAAGAACATCGAATGGGAAAAAAAAAGACAGTCTCTTCAATAAATGGTGCTGGGAAAACTCGACAACCACATGCAGAAGAATGAAACCACACCATCCTCTCACACCATACACAAAGATAAAATGGGTGAAACTCCTCAATGTGAGACAGGAATCCATTAAATCCTAGAGGAGGACATTGGCAATAACCTCTTTGACATTGGCCACAAGAACTTTTTCAAGTCACATCTCTAAAGGCAGGAGAAACAAAAGCAAATATGAAGGTTTGGGACTTCATCAAGGTAAAAAGCTTTTGCTCATCAAAGGAAGCAGTCAACCAAACTAAGAGGCAATCCAGAGAATGGGAGCAGATATTTGCAAATGACATTTCAGATAACGGGCTGATATCCAAGATCTATAAAGAACTTCTCAAACTCAACACCCAAAAAACAAACCAGTCAAGAAATGGGCAGAAGATATGAAAAGACACTTCTCTGAAGAAAATATACAAATGGCTAAGAGACACATAAAAAAATATTCAACATCGCTAGCCATCAGGG